AAATTGTCAATGCATCTAATAGCGACGAGTCTAAATAGTATCTCTATCACCTGCAAATTGCAGTAAGTGGTGGTGGTGTTGCAGCATATGCATTGCAATCATCTTAACTCTGTTAGGTGGACCACTCGCTTGGGTTGGACCGCTCGCTTGTGAACTACGTTATACTAGATAATTGTCTACTCCTCTAGTATAGTAAGTTTCTAGCAATTAGCGCGTACGTCTAGTTAAAACATAATATTACAAAGGTAATTAGAGACCTGCTAATAAGGTACGTTTAACACTCTAGCAGCGCTGCAGATACTGCGAAATTAGCTAGCGTAGAAGGCCTAGATAGCAAGGATAACTCTACCTTCTCTAGTAGTATTCTAAAGTTGTTGTTGTTAAGGCATGTTGTTTTAGGGTAAAAGGTGGTTGTGCTAAGAGAAAGTGGCTAGTTTGGTGATATGGCCGGCTTGGTGATAATCTACGTTATATAATAATAAATTATCCCCTTAGATTAGGGCAGCATAAGGCCTTTATAGCTAATAATATAGTGTTTCTTACTAAAGGGGGTGCAGCCTCCTAGAGCTATAAAGGGGACGCCTAATATACTGTAAGTATGCTATCTAACTAGGGCAGACCTTAATATTAACGTATAGTAGGTAGGAAAACTGCTACACTTAAGTGGCCTTTAGATTAAGAGCCTACTTCTACTAGGGGAGCAAAATACCCTATATATAGATAACGCCACTCTATATAGGATTACTACTATATTAATTAAGACAGAGCTCCTAAGTAGTAGAAACTAAATAAGATTATTTCTAAACTTATTAAGTTTAAGTATAAGAAAGATATTACCTTTTAAGGGCTACTTTATATATAAAGTAAGAGCTAATTAAGAATACTAGTAGTAAAGCACTTACACACCCCTACCCTAGAAATCCTAGATAATTAACTAGAAGGCTAAGAAATTACTAATATTAAAGTAGTACTTAGCATAGCAAACTAACAGGACACTGCTAACTATCTACTATAGAAGTTATTTATACTTAACTTAGGTTCTACCTGTTATATTACTAACAACCCTAACTATATCT